TTTAAAAATTCCATTTACAAGACAATTGTTTATAATAAAATTCTATTCAATCAGTAGACTCATAACGATTGAAAACAATGTTTTTGTTTGGGTTTGACCAATTTGTAAAAAAAAAAAAAAAACTAATTAAGACATGTGTGTCCGTCAACCTTAAACAATAATCTTTGTCAATTTTATTTTTCAGTCTTTATGATGGTGGATACTTGATCTATCTCTTACTGTTGTATCCTTGGGCAACGCCGGGCTCTACTGCTAGTACTTGATAGAGTTCAAAAGCATTTACACAACTATGTGCAGAAACATTACAAGCCTCTTGCTATTTTATTGCCATTTGCATAACGAATGATCTGATGAGCTACATTTCTTATTTCCACCAGTTCAGACCTTTACAGCTACGATCTACTATGCATCCCCTTCATATTTTATTGGTAAAGAGGAAGTTCCACTAAGACACCCTCTTCCTCAGTACTGTTACTGTGTGGGAGAGACTCCTGAGAGGATACTTCTCTGATTACTACAAGCTTAGCCTCAAGTCTAGGGGTAAACCATTATCTATCCTACATATCCTCATAATATGCACTTCTTACTTCCTCCTCTTACATCCATACCATACACTTCATTCACTCTCTTCCTTGAGTGGCTCTTGCACCTTGTGTTGGATGAACGAACATTGGTATACAAAAAAAAAAAATGCTGATTAGTATTAGCTGTAGAATCTGATGTGTCTCAATTGGTTAAGCATCAGATGATATTGGTCAAAGCCTTAAGAAAAATGATGCCTGATAATTGTTGAAGACTTCATGGACCAAAGATGAAATGAAATGTCCATTGTGGACACAAATATTAGATTGTGTTGTTGTTCATTATTTACATTATTCGGACTATTGGCAGGAATAGTCTGAATAATGTACATAATACCTCATCTCAGAAATATAGACAGATACTGTGTTGTTGTTATTGTTGTTAATCAAGTGTCTGCAGCAGGAGCAGCTCACTTGTTGTTTTCTCAAGTAAAAATTGGTAACTTTAAATTTCAGGCCAATTAGTGGAACGTTATTTAATGTTTTTTTTTCCAAAAAATCATTTAAAAAACTTAAGAAAACATTAAAAAATAAAAGAATGCATTAAAAAAAAAATTTAAAAAAAAAAGTAAAACACTTTCTTTTTTTTTTTTTTTTGGTATTTTTTTTAATGATTTCTTTTTTTTATTATGTTTATTATTTATTCTTCTACTTGAATCTGTTCTTCAATTGTGTAAATAAAAAAAAATCTTTGCTAGAGAAAAAGTTTGAGATTTAAGATTACCTAAATATTTATTTAAAACAAACTTTTGTAAATGATTTTGAGAGATTATTTCAGGATTCAGGTTCATTATTAAGTCTAGTATCCTTTATTTTTACCCCTGAAATTCCATTCTAAAAATATTTTGATTCTGATGAGTGACCATTCTGTTAATGAAGTATTATATTTGTTTGTTTCTCATCTGATAAAGTGTCACATTGTTAGTAAATCTTTCTTCCTTATCAGATGTTGAAGTTCAGCTTCACTGATCATTTTCCAAAATATATTTGCAAATCTTTTCATTAAGAATAACTGTTTTGCCATTTTGAGGGAAGAGAAAACAATTTTGGTTGAAGTAAGAACTTATCTGGCAGGAACTGGATTTCTATCAATTAGAAATTCTTTGAAGTTGAATCATGCAATGACTGCAATTCCTGTCATCCACATTTGAATTCTTGGACATATTGTCTTTGGAAGTCTTTGATCAAACTTCTAAACACTCGTTATTTCAATGCAAGATATATTATAACCAAACGTCAATATTTCTTGAATAATTAGGCAACCTTTAACTTTCTGTTGGAATTTCTGGGATGAGTGGGTTATCATTATTTACATGCAGACTATTGTCCTCATCTTTGTTGCTGTTGTCATGTTTCGGCCGTTGTACTCTCCAGCCATCATAGGGTGCTTGTCAATCTGGGTAGCCATCAAGGAATTTCAAACTGAACCTTTTATGTTTGAGATATAAACAGCAGAACAAGAACAATGTTTACTCAACCCCCACCCTGCCGTAGATTAATTAAAGTGTTCTGTTTAAAATTCCCTGAAGTTTACCTGGATCGATATGCACCTGATGAAGGCTGGAAGGCACAATAGCCAAAATGTTGTGATAATGTGACACCCACTGGCGGTCGCAGCGCCAGTATGTGACGTTCTCTGGTTGCGACGCCAATATGTGACACTGCACTGTCGGCCTGTGGTCAACTCCCAGTTGTGGCACAAAGCTGTAGGGTTTCTTCCACCAGTGTTTTAGGGGTTGACTCTTTGTTGCTGCCACCAGCCTGTGTCCCAGTCGATCTGGTCATTCCCGGTTCGATACCAGCTTTGTTGTTCCCAGCTCACTTCCAACGTCTGGTTACCGAAGTAACTACTTTGATCTCAAGTCTAACCTACCCACGTTGTGACTTTGATCTTAGGTAGACGAAATGTAAGCTGAATCTGGGGTGAAGGTGATATCGCACAAGCATAAGTACAAGAAGCAATAAAACAAACTCTAGTGGTTCAAATATGTTGACAAATAACAAATTATCTTTATCTGTTTGTTATGTACAGGAGTTTGTTTCTCTCCCAGCCCGTTTCTATGGATTTGTGACACTTTTACGTTTCTTAAGTGAGTTTTGGTATCTTAAGTCGTTCATCAATATAACTTGCTTTTTGGTAGGAAGACAAAGTTGGAAGGGCATGGAATTTCTCGGTCAGTTTCTGTGAGGCAATGGTCTCCAACTGCAACTGACTTCAACTGCGAAATTCCTGCGAAAACTAACTGATCAGCTGCCTCAAAATGTTTGTTTATATGGATACTGACCAAACCCCAGTGTGGGGCCTGATGTGGCTTGGGTTCCCGATAATTCTTGATTCCCAGCAAGAATTCTCTTTGTTCTTAGGCCAGGAAAATTAATTACTTCCCATTTTTGGAAGATTAATCACTTTCCATTTCAGGGGTTTCTCCCTCGTCCATGAGGGAAGGTTGGAGGAGAGTTATCCTCCTAGACTCTTCCTCTCTCACATTGGTGTCTCATACCGATCCCCTCAGTGGGTGTTAACAACTTCTCTGTCTTTCTCATACATTCACTTCCGCCTATCACCCATGCTACCACTTGACCAATGATCTCTCAGCAGTGTGGGTGTGGCTAGACTGGCCCTCTTAAAATTATTGTCCAGGATTTTGTTTACAAAATCCTTTTTTTTTTTTTTACAAACTCCAGATTGCCAAATAATTCTTATCACATCTTTCTTTTGGGGACACCCAAAATTCACTTAGTCAGGTCTCTCTACCGACTCATCAATCACTGTCAAAACCTGACATCTGTTTTTTTTTTTTTTTTTTGCTAAGTCAACTTTTAGCTGGGAGGTCCGTATTTTACCTGAGAATCAAATTCTTTTTTTTTCTCATGCCTTAAAATCCTCTTATCACCAAATGCCCATTTTCGACAACACTGTGTCTGACGTAAACAGTTTGAATAAGCAATAATAATACGATTTTCTTCCTCATGCCAGAATTCTAACACACACCAGATGGTTGCCTTCATTGGACCCAGGAATTAGAATTAAATGATATCTCTGAAAGATAACTAATATCGATTCTCTCTGCCTGTACCGCGTTGGTCTCAAGCCGAAATTTTTTATGGCCACCATGTGTTGGTTGGCTTTGTTTTTTCTTTCTGAATTCTGTTTCCCTTCGTGTGTCACTCCCTTATCGTGACATTAATCAGTTTTGACAGAATCTCATATCTCGCTTTTTCTTATGGATTTTCTGTCTCGTGCGAAAAGTATCTTTCTCCGTAAATAAAATAAAATAAAATCTTCTTTAAATGTTGCTCAGTCTATCTTTCGATATAGCTCTTTCTCGCCTTAAGTCTTTCCTGTTTTTCATTTCTATGGTTAATTAGTTAACCAATTACCATAGCTAAATAGTGTCACAATAACAAAATGTGGAAAGATTATATTGGATTATATATTGAATCAGTTGCTGCATCTGTTACTAGGAAAGTTGATCCACTATGTTGATCTAGGCAATTTTTCTCTCCTGAATCTATCTTACAAATTAATAAGTCAACCATTTGTCCATACATTGGTAATTGTTACCACATCTGGTCTGGTGTTCATGCTATACATTTAGAGATTCTTGATAAAATTCAAAGAATCTGCAATGTTACAGATCCTGACCTGGCATCTCACCTTCAGTCACTTCCCTGTACCTTCCTATAAATATTTTCATGATAATTGTTCTGAGAAACTTTGCTCTGTGATACCTAAACTTTATGAATTTAAGTGCAGTACTAGATTGCCAACATGGTCTCATCATTTTACAGCTGAAATGCTTAGATCTAAGCTATGAGTTCTATGCTAACAGTTTCTTCTATCACACTTCTTGCTTGTGAACTCTCTTCCAACTTCTAGCTTCCCTGTAAATTGTATTCTTCAAAAATTTAAATGCGATGTCAATTGTTATCTTCTGTCTTAATTCTTATTCTTTTATTGTCCTCTCTCCTTAATAGTAGTTTTTCTCATATTCTCTAACACTCAGTAACCCTTTGTGTCTTAGTGGCTTTATTGCCTTTGATCTTCAAAAATTTAAATGCAATGTCAATTGTTATCTTCTGTCTTAATTATTCTTCTTTTATTATTATTCTTTAATAGTATTTTTCTTTTTTCCTCATACTATCTTAACACTCAGTAACTCCTTGCATCTTAGTGATTTTATTGCCTTGCTTGGGGTGAAATGATTAAAAAAAAAAATGAGGACACTAGTACGAATAGTAATAATGTAAATATCCATTTAGCATATATTGATATTTCCATCTGTTTTAATGTCACATCTTATAACATTCTGTTTTTAATCTTTTTGTGCTTGTTAATTTTATTTTTAATTTGCCGATAATCGTTATAATATTTTTCCATTTTTTTTTTTTTTTTTTTTTTTTTTTTAAATGTTGCAGACAAGGCAAATGGTTTAGAAGATCTGGGCATGAGCGGTGGTGATTTCTTGCGTGAAGCCTTGACCAACTGTGCAGACCCCCTACAAGCTATTGAAGAATTTCAGTCTGAGAATGGCATCCTACTTCCTTCCTTAAAACCGGCACTGCCATTCCTTGATTTGCATGACATCCGCCGACTCGATTTCCACACTTCTGTTGTTGAAGAACTACGTGAGAAGTTGCTGGAAAAGATTTCCCGTCTAGCCAACAGTAACGATGATGAACGTTTTAAGAAATTGGATGCCTTGCTACTCAAGTGCTACCCAGCAATCAAGGTAAATACATTGCGTCCAGTTGTGATGTGCATCTTGAAACACCTGCCGCAGATCAAAGAGGAACACCTGCTGCAGATTGCAGCTAACAAGGAATATTATGATGAAGCCTCGACAGAAGTCAAACGACAAATATGGCAAGACAATCAGTCTCTTTTTGGTGACGAGGTCTCGCCTCTTTTTTCCCAATATATAAAAGACAAAGAGAATATAGTTTTTGGCCATGAGAACGGAACTCCTGTATTCTATGTTCCCTCCCCCAGGATGCGTCGACAGGGGGAGGTGGTACAGAAATTGGTGCACATGATTGGTCGGAGCCTTCAGTTGTATGATATGGTACTGCAGTTTTTACGAACACTCTTTCTGCGTACACGTAACAACCATTACTGCACTCTAAGAACAGAACTGCTTATGGCACTTCATGACTTGGAAATTCATGAAATCTGTTCAATTGACCCGTCTCACAAATTCACATGGTGTGTTGATGCCTGTATCCGGGAGAGATTTGTTGACACAAAAAGAGCACGAGAACTTCAAGGATTTTTAGATACTATCAAGCGAAACCAGGAACAAGTGCTGGGGTGAGTGACATTATTGAGTCCGTCTTTCTTGTTTCTTTTTTTTCCTTCGTATTGATGTAGTAGCATTGTAACTGTTTATGATTGACTAATATTTTCATTTTTGCTCATCAGATCTTGGAGGGGATTTGTGATAAAAAAGCAGATGATGAATTAGTAATGTGAATATCAAATTTCTAAACTTGAATAACTGAAAATAATTACTAGGTAGTAAAAAATGATTACTGGGTAGTAAGTCTTTACTAGGTAGTAAAAAATCATTACTAGGTAGTAACAGTCTTTACCAGATAGTAAAAAAATCATTACTGGGTAGTAACAGTCTTTACCAGGTAATAAAAAAAAATCATTACTGGGTAGTAACAGTCTTTACCAGGTAATAAAAAAAAATCATTACTGGGTAGTAACAGTCTTTACCAGGTAATATAAAAAAAAATCATTACTGGGTAGTAACAGTCTTTACCAGGTAATAAAAAAAAATCATTACTGGGTAGTAACAGTCTTTACCAGGTAATAAAAAAAAATCATTACTGGGTAGTAACAGTCTTTACCAGGTAATAAAAAAAAATCATTACTGGGTAGTAACAGTCTTTACCAGGTAGTAAAAAAATCATTACTGGGTAGTAACAGTCTTTACCAGGTAGTAAAAAAAATCATTACTGGGTAAAAAATAAAAAAAAATCATTACTGGGTAGTAACAGTCTTTACTAGGTAGTAAAAAATCATTACTGGGTAGTAACAGTCTTTACTAGGCTGTAAAAATCATTAGTAAAAATCTTTACTAGGTAGTATAAAAAATAAGTAAAATTGGATTTTATGATTAAATTGGTTAAGGTGTTATGAAAAATGTACTCTTTAACCTTTAGCCCTCTGTATGTAGGTGACTTCATTTGTCAAACAAAATATTTGTACTGCCACTGCATGCAACTCTGATCATCACACAATAGTGTGATTGAATTTTGTGCTAGTGTTGTCATATCCTTCTATGGCAACAAGAAAATGACTGAAAATTGAAGATGATGCTATTGCATTTGTCTAGTCATTTATACCCAATGGATGAAATACTTATGAATATTGCAGAGTGCTGAAGGTTAAATCAATCTTTTATTTGAAAGAGACATGTTTATTTTTGCAATTTAGATTTTTAAAATGTGTGTTTTATTTTTTTTTTTTTAAATGTTAGCATGATTATTTTTCTTTTTTATATAAATTTTACTTAATCTTAAAATTACAGACAACTTTTGTGACAATTTAATAGTTTTTCTTTTAACTTTTTCCTTCTTAAAAAAAAAAAATTAAAATAAAAGGGACCTTGCAATGATTTTGTGTGATCCTTTTGCCATGCACACGGTGGCCTTATCAGCTGTGAAAGCGTTGCAACACTGCATCAACTGTGAAATGCTACCCAGGGTAAGTAAAACAGATTTGATTGTATAAGTGGGGCTGAAAATTTCTGAGCCTGAGCCACTTCCCAAACATCTTATTTATTTTTTCTTTTAAAGGGCCAGCTTGTTTTTCAGCACCCTCTTGTATAAAGAAGCAAAAGCGAGAATTAATTGCTAAATCATTTCTTCTTTTCCATTTACACTATTCACATTGTTGAAACTGCTGCCCTCGTCTGTATTGTCATATTTCATCCGTTGTACACTTCAGCTTTCTTCAGGTGATATAAGTTGGAATGCCTTTTCTGGATATCTGTTTCGGTGATTTCCCTAAGGACACATGGCCCAGTGGATAAAAGTGTTGGTTGAAATAATCTAGTCACTCAACCCAGCAGAGGAGAACAAAGACTTGGAGAGTTGAGTTACTAAAGGAAAGTAACTGAAAATGAGATATCCGGAAAAGGGCATGGCATATGGAACTAGAACAATCTGCTTTGGTGGACGAAATAAAGCGTTCAGTTCAAAATCACCTGAAGAAGGCCGGAGCTTACAGTGGCCGAAACATTGTGAATATGACAATAAAGATGAGGACAACAGTCTGGATGTAAATAGTGACAATACCTCATCTCAGAAATATAGGCAGACATTTTACAATTGGCCCCTAAAAAAATTCTTGTTTTATGTAGAATTTGATGAAATCCTTATTAATTTGAATTTATCAGTAATCAGTGATTTGACTGAAAGCGATGGTTGGTTGTGATCTAATGATACATTTCTCATGTTTGATAAAAGTAAAGATGATACATGACCAATATATCTGTAATTGTGTAACTAATTTGCAAGCATCTTCAAACAAGAAAAGAGTATTTTGCATAGAACATTTGTGCAAGATCCTTTTCAATTTTTGTGTGCCTCACACATCAGGTCATTGCGCACTCATTTTCCTTCTCTACTACTGTGACAATGGACTGCTCCTACTTATAAATATGGCAAGTAGCAACATTAGAGTAGGATTTGAGGAGTAGTTGATTTACTTAAGTTTTTCTGATCTATGTATCAGTATTTACTAAGCTTCTTCTAGTCTTTTGTTCCTTCAGTACTCTCTCTATGACCTTCCTAATCCTTGGCTATTTTGAACCAAGACAACGTCACAACATATTTGAAATTGGTCAAACAGTATGAAAGCTCTGTCTCTTTTGACTCCCATCTCTCTGTTAGTTCTAAATGAAGGGAGAGCCTTTCAACCACAGAACATGTAGTTTTTCACCTAACCAACCACCAACAATGTGATGAAAGTATTTACCTAAGAAATCTATTTTGCACATTAATGTCTGTCATTTTATAAGGAGCTCAGACCTCTCCCGCCAACCTCTTAGATTGGCAGGGGAGGGAACTTTGAGTTTACTATCAGGTTTAATGAAAATATTTTTACTTGATGCAGAAGCAAAATCTTAACCACTATTTTCAAAGTGATGAAGATTTTATTGTAAAATTTTACTGGTATATTTGCACTAATTTTTTTTTTTTTTTTGTTGTTGTTGTACTTAAAATTTAAAATTGCGCTTGATTTGAATGCATCTCTAGAAATGAAGAAAAACTATTTTTTTTTTTTTTTTACTTTTTAACTTAAAATTCTTGTGAGACTAAATTACTTTCAATCTAATGCTTACTATATAATTTGTAAGAAATTAATGGAAAGTGATTTTTATTTATTTTTCAGGACAATGCTGATCTCCTCCTCCTTGTTAGGCTGATGGCTCTCGGTTTAAATGCATGGGATATGATTGACTGCCAAGTTTTTAAAGAACCGAAATTAGTAAGTTTCTATTCAGATTTCTTGTTACATTATATTTTTTTCACTCAAAAGCTTCTCTTGTTTTTTGTTTTTTTTAATTTACTCATTGATCTTTTTTCTTCTTAGTGTTTGTTTTTGTTGTTTGTAATGCAATGTGAATTCTTTGTTTAGGAAGGAAAGAACTGGAGGACATTTGCATTAATTGAAAAAAGATAAAATAGAACAATCCGTGTTTTATGAGTTGTTGAGGCCGGTTTGATCCAGTCAACTTCTATTCCTTTTGGCGGGTGAGATCTCACCACCTCCTTTTCTTTCTTTATGCCATGTACACCTTATGAAGGTTGGAAACTGGATCGGCTAAAACATTGTGGTAAAAAAAAGAGTTCAAATATCCAAACAACTTTTGGAATGATAATAACTCTTCTAAACATTTTAGAAACCAATCCATTCTACAACCTTCTTCAGGTTTACACTCAATAAAGAGAGCCCCCCCCCCCCAAAGAACAATAGTAAATATATTAATATTTTTTTCACCTGTTCAGGATAATGAGATTTCTTATATTTGATAAGTTCTTTTAACGTGTCACATTTTGGTTAAGAACCTAACTTGCTGTTTGTAGGAATTGTTTATAAAATGTCATCATCAATATTGTCGATAAAGTTGTTATATTTTTGTCTGGGGTTCAATTTCTCATCAAGATTTTAGAATATGAAAACAAAAAATGACAATAAAATGGATTTAAAATTTTTGGAACAATTTGCTTCTAACTTTTGCCCATTAATTGTAAGTACCACTTGCCACTAGGTTATATTTTTTCTTAAGGATAGGGAATGCTGACACACACCCACATATCTGAATTTGGAACCTTTCTGAAGATATTGGAGCAGGTATTCCCTAAATAAAACTTTGATTTTTCCATGAGGTCATAAAAACTGAAAATAGATTTCATGTCTCTATTTTCCCAGTTATAAAATCTATTAGATTCTTTTTTCCTCTCCATAACTTCAACATAACATAAAAGAAATTACTCTTATTTAACTTCTTTTTTTTTTAATGGAGATGTTTTGTCATGTTTGCCTGCAGTATTTTAGTATTTATCAATTATATACAAAGTAGAATAAATATACACTGAAGAATTTGTAATAGCATTTATAAACCCTTTTTCAGCGATGCAAAGAGGCAATTATCTCCCTTTGGTTGAGACAAAGATTTTTTTTTTTTTTTGTCAAACAGCCCCACCACCATCCAGTTAGACAAACTCTGCCCAGAATGTTAATATAAAAGAAATGCAATCAAACTAAAACATTAATTAGAAAAAGATTTTAATTGATTTTATGAATATCTTATGGACTCTATTCCCTTAAAAAAAAAAAAATTTTTTTGTTGAATAAGGAATTTTCACAAGAATTGTTTTCGTTTTATTAAAATTTTAATTCTTCTTCTTTCATGTGCTGTGTCTCTTCAGGTCGTAAGCGATCATAGCCCTCCACATCCTTCTGTCCCTTATAGCTCTTAATGTTTTGTCTTTTCATTATTTCAATCAAACCCTGTTCTATCATCCATTTGCTCAAGCCCATTAAATATGTTATATGCTGCTTTCTTCTGTATTCTTTTTCCCTCTATCTGACCTGAGAGTATCAGGTTCTCCAAGCCCTCCTTTCTCATTATGTGCCCTAGAAATTTCAACTGTCTCTTCCTGATGTTAAATATAAGTTTCCTTTTTGTTTCCATTTACTCTAAAACTTTGTCATTGCTCACATGTTCGATCCATGGAATCCTCAACATCTTTCCTCTATTCTTTTTGAGAATATTGTTCAGCATTCACTGCCATACTTGAGAGCAGATATCACATAACAGTTCAGTACTCTTTTTTTTATTTTTGTTTCTAACAAAATTTTTCTGTCTCTTAATACTCTCCTTAGCTTTTGGAATTCATAATTTATCAAGTTTTAAGTCTTCTAAAATTCTTTATTAATTTCTATCACTCAAATGATATTATTAAATTAGGACTGTATCATAAATGGAAATGCTTACTACAATTCACCAACCTACAGTATTTTAAAAAAATCAAAAAAAATTTTGAATTTATGTGTATGTAAACATGTCGATTTTTGTAAATAAGGATGTCCATACACAACATTATCAGAAAATAAGAGCAGTAACTATAGTAAAGTTAAAATTCATTGGTAATTTTCTAACATTTCCTTAACAAGCATCTTCGTAAGTTAGACTATGAAACCACAGTAGCTAAAATTCAATAAAATATTAAATTGCTCAGAGTATTTTCTTAAATTTTAAAGTTTATTGGGTAGTTAAAAAATATATATATATAAAAGATATTCACATTATATTCAGCAAGTATTGTTATATCCCCCTTAGAAAAAATTCCCAAATATAAGTCTATCGATAAAGTTGTCAACATCTCATAAAAACATCCATTTCTTTATTAAAAATATTTTCTGTAATATTTTAAACTAAAAGTAAGTAATATTTGTTTCAAATAAGATTTTAATTAAACCTTAAATCAGCTAATCTTCCTCAAAGATAGTTTCAGAAAAGTATATTTTATTTTTTAAACATTGTTTTTAATAAAGAGAATTATGCTGTGCTGATAGATTTGTCAATATGGACGATTTTAGTGTTTTTACTGATAATTAAAAAAACAAATCTCATTCCAATCAATTTAAATTCAGTTTGAAATACAGCAAAGTATTTTGGTTATTGGAAATATTTAATCTATTAGCTTGAAATTAGAACTAAAATAAAATCTTCAAGAAAGATTTTTCATTTTTAAAAATGCATTTTAAACGTTAGGTATTGCATTTCTTTGGTGGTACATATATATAGTCATCAACATACAAGCCTGTTTTGCTGTATCACAGCTAATCAGTGTGGCTAAACATCCAATTGCTTCAAGCTGGGATTGAAACTCAACCGATTTGGCATCAGCCAGAGATCCTACCCCTAAGTTATCAGTGTACAGCAGAGAAAAGGGAAATTCTAACATTATATATGTTGTAACCTAGGGAAGGTTACTGAATAGAATAATTGCATGAAGGTAGGTAATGAATGATAATACTTAGGACAAGAACAACACACATAAGATTTGCCAGTGGTGCATAGTAGTAGTAGTAGTCAACTGCAAGAAGTAAGTAAAGAGAATTCCACAATGAATCTCCAACTGCAGACCAACATACAGTATTTAATACTGTATTTATGTAAATGGAGCCATACCCATTATCGTCTGAGGTATGCTACAACAATATACGAATGTATAGAAACACCAGCAGCCATAGTGCTCAATTCATTAATGAAGAGTGATGCATTAATGGCGGTAACAGTTACTGTTTTTGGAATTACCTTTTTCTCAATAGTGCTTGATTGAAATGACAAATACATAATATATATCCAAGTATAGGATTGATATAGACGGAAAAAATACCATTCTTAAAAGAGTAGAGAAAATATTCTATTCTTAAAAGAGTGCTCAATACAGAGTGGAGCAAATATAATTTATTCAAAAATTATAACATAAACATGTTATAACATCACTACAAAAATAGCCATTTTGTTTCAACATTTATGGTGTCTTATCAAGTGATGGTGTTGAATATAGAACCTTCTAAATTCAACACCATCACTTGATAAGACACCAAGCAAACAAAATAATTTTTGTAGTGATGTTATAAATATGTTTGTTAATAATAAATAAAATTTTATATATATATATATATATATATATATATATATATATATATAAAATCTCTTTGAGAACAATGCATGTTTGTCAATCCTTTCTTTCAGCTATTCTGTTAGATTTGTGTATTAAGATATGCTAATGCCTATAATGGGGGATTGCATACTGGGAATATTCCTTTCTTGCCTAGCAGCCCCATTACTTATCTTCAGAACTGTTTCTTTCTAAAAATGGTTTTGGTCTGGAATTGGAATTTCTTAGCAGGCACTTGACTGATGTCATTGGTCAAAGATTTGATGGAAGTGGAATCTTGGGCTGGAAAGGCAGAATAAAAGAACTGAATCCAATCTTGAAGACCCTTTCTCTCTTCACATTCGACAAGAAATCTCAACATTTAGAGAAAAAAAATAGAACTCATGATATTTTAGTTGCTTATTGATTTGTGATTGCTTTGATGTTTCTTACTAAAGTCTCTCTTCTGCTTACATATTTGGGGTTGTCAAGCCTCCTTTGGGCTCTACTCACTCTGCATGAGTGAGTTAGTGCTTGCCTCAACACAGTTAAAAATTGTTAAATAATAAACATGAGCAGGATAATTGGGGTTTAAATATATTACATTGAGTCATCAATAATTTCCGTTTTTGTTTATCAACTTTATCAATCTATATGTAAAATTCTGTGACTTCTGTTAGTCCGTCCATCTCAAATTGCTCTATATTATTGACAGATTGAAACCAAATTTTGAGAAGTGCAAACTGCTAAGTGGGTACAAAGTACAATTGGTTTTACTAGGGTGTGTTGATTAGTACAATAAATTTTCATTTTGTTTTTTGTTTTGTTTTTTTTTTTTCGAAAAATTAAAAGTTTTATTATTTCACATACAAAATACTCCCACTATTTCAAATGATTAAAATAAATACTTACTTGATAAAAATGCAATATTGTGTTTTGCACATCTTTTCTTTAAGCTTTTATATATATATTTCATTCTGGTAAAATGTAAAGCAAAATAGTAGCAAAGTATATATAAACACAGAAGGGAGAGTACAGTTTGTAAATCTCAAAAAAAAAAAAAAATAACTTCAATAATAGTAGATACTATGAGGATTTCAACACACGTCAGAATGTTGCAAAATAATTCTAGTTCTTCAAAAAAAGCAGATTTTAATGTGGAAAAGTTTTCCACTAACTCTTTAATCTGTTTTTTCATTAGAGAAAGTTTTCTTTATCAAAGCATTTTGCAGTGATCGAAAAAGGTAATCACTTGATGTGAAGTCTGATGAATATGGCAGGTGTGGTAGAACAGTTTGACAGATTTCCAAAATATTTTCTTGTGTTGTCTTGAAGTGGCGGGGGGGGACACTTTCCTTTTAATCTACTAAACATGCTGCCACTTCTGTGTAAAAAAACTATGGTATCTTAGTGTACTCTAAACTTGAAATTTTAAATTTCCATGTATGATTAATAGTTAGGATACTACATTTGTCATTATAATTGATTTCCAAAAATGGAAATGACTTATGACTCTGCCTAATGAAGAAACGTTGATTTTTCAAAGTACATTTGAAATTAGTTTAGTAATTAACATGGATGTTTCGGTAGTGTAATGGATAGCAGTTCAGATGGAGAAACTGGAGAACCAAGTTTAAATTCCAGTCAAGTTTATTATATTCATTTCTACACAGATACCTTTGGGAAAGGTATCAATCCGTTTCTTCTTCTCCAGGTATGGGGTAAACAGTAGGAATTGTATCTGAAAAAAATCATTATCTTCAAAAAATTGTTAATGCAATATTTACTTGCAAAAAAAAATAATTACAATCCAAAATATCTTTCCGCTTTAAATAAGCCTACAAAAGGGTTGATAAGTTCCATAATAAAAGATCAGTTAGTAATTAACACCATTTTGCAGAATTTTTGAGAGAAAATAAAATGTTGTGTGTGATGATTGATCATAAAAGAAAGCAAGTATTATTGCAAGTGCTGAATTATTTTCTTTTTCTTGCAGGGTCCTGAATTATTCAGCAAATTCCTACCTTACGTTGTGAATATGTTGGTAGACGATCAGTTGAGAGCAATTTGTTCTCGTCTTCCAGACGCACCTGTTCCAACCATTACTCATCCACCTGACCTCTTTCTCACTGTCCTCAAACTGACCAACATTGGCAGTGTTATAGTCATGTATTACACATTGCACGTGAGCCGCCAGAGGGATAAATTGGCCACTATGGCCATTCTACCAACCCTTGTCCATTGTGAAGGTGACCGAGCGTTTGATGAGACGTTTCTTCATACTTTGGTCTCATACCTCATTGCAATGGCTGAAGATTTTGGACAGGAAGATTTTTGCATTGCTGTCTTTGATGAATTCTTTTTGGTAAGTTGAAAAATTCTAAATCTCTTTTTGACAGGTTGAATATTTTACCACCAAGTGAAATTCTTGCCTTCCAAAATGTCTTCAAAAGATTATTTTTCTAGTGAAAACTAGAGTAGCTGATTGAACATTTCAATATTGCATATTTATTAAGACCTTGTCTGATTCAAGGCTAGAGGGAGGATGAGAAGATTAGGTTGCACTGAGAACCTGCCTGCTTTGAAAAGCAGCATTCAAAGTCTTACTTTTTCTTGAGCTCAAACCCCTATCTCTGGCTTCTCTGTCAACCAAGTACATGTTCATACTAAACTATTATATTTGCCAGACTTTAATGAATTCACTCCATCGATTGTACTGGTATTTATAAATAGAAGATTGTGTATATTTAGGGCCCATCTATGAGGAATTTAAATATCCACTTGCTTGATAATTGTGGGTCTACTTCAGAGATCTATAAGGTATAAATTGAGATGAAATTTCTTTGTAGCAACAGGGCTGTGATTGCTGCCTAAAATTTAGAAATCAAATTGTTATCAGCATTTATGCTTTTTAAAACTAAAAATTTTCCAAATTGAAAATTTTAGTCTCGATGTTATGCATATAGTCCTGATTTTCATGATGAAGTGACAATCTCGTTAATGACTAAATAACAGAATCCTGAAAATTTTCTCTTGCTGGACAATTTTGTTGGGGCATGGGGTAGGGAAATGGAAACGAAAATCTCCCATAGTAAAACAACCATGGCAGCTTTTTTTGTTTTAATTTCTTTATATTATCTTATTATTAATGTTTTTGTTCCTAATTCTTGTACACCTTGTAACCCCTTGTGCCTTAGAGGCTTTACTGCCTTGCTTAGGTTGAATGTGATTAAAAATATATATATATATATATATATAATTTATATATATATGGTTTTGATCTTTAAAATTCTACTGTCCTCTTGATTACTCTTCCACTCATTATTAATGTTTATCTTCTTAATTCTTGTACACCTTGTGCCTTAGAGGCTTTACTGCCTTGCTTAGGGTGAATTTGATTATGTTCCTAATTCTTCCACCTCCTATAACCTCTTTAATGTTATGTAAATTATTTAAAGTAAAATGAAATCATACATTTATTATTCAGTGAGAAATTTGCAAAGGATAACATAGAAAAGTCATTGTCCCTCACAAAACACATTTTTCTTTTTTTTTCTTTTTGTAGCTGGGAACTAAATCCAAACCTTGTGTCATCCGTCACATGCTGCGTTTGTTATGGTACATTCACCACAGACTACCGCCTGCAAGACTGAAATCACTCATGCATACTTTTACCCCAACCCCTAACGTAAGAGCTTCACCTATATACATTCTATGAATGACTTTTAACTATTTCATTCCAATCTCTAGTGTAAATGGTTGAAACTTCACAAAATTAACTTTCTTCAGAATTTTGTTGATTTCATTAATAAATTGCATATTTCTGTGTAAAAAAAAAAAAAAAAAAAAAAAAATTGGCTTCACCTAAAGAAATGAAATTGTTTCAAAGATTTTCAAAACTTAATTTTTGCAACTATTTAAAAAAACAAAAACACATTAAGTAAAACTTAATGCTAAGTCATTTTGTATTTGTAGAATTTATATTTATTTCCAATGAAACTACATTATAAGTAGCATTTAAAATGCTTGTAGATTTTTATCCTGAGAAATTCTGGATACTCAAAAATGCAGACCCCACATTATTATTAAATTGTGATTTTGAACTGTAAATTGCATTATTCTTTAAATTAGAACATTTTTAACAGAATTTGATTAGAAAAATATTGTTAAATTTAAATTTCTGCTTACTATTTTTTTTTTTTTTTTTTAAGCAAAATTAATCTTGTCAATTTTTCCTTAACTTTTTGTTTCAGACCTGTGAAATGACTGACACCGTCTACAAACTGCTTGAAGAGAGAATTTCTGCCCACCAGCCAAGCCCTTCCCAGCCAGAACCTCTTGAAGCACCCCTTATTCCAATGCCAACTCCTGCCCAGTAAACACAAACTGCTAAAAAGACTATGGACTGAAAGTTATTTCAGTAAATAATGGGAGGGAGTGGGGTGAAGGGCGTGTAAATGTATAACGGGGTGGGACGGGGGACATGTAGGAATGTGAATGTGTGTCTGTGTGCGTGCGTGCGTGTTGGAAAAGCAACAGGAGAGGATGGTTTTCATGGCTTCATTTTTCATTCATAACTTCCTTCTGACCAAATCTTCACAAAGGGAGGAAACTCCTGGGACATTTTTTTTTTTTTTTTTTTTAAGAAAAACCAAAAAAATAGATGTGATATATTTGTTTATGTAAAAGAATTCTGGAAAAAGAAACTTACATAACAGTATTTTGTTTTGTCGTATGTAATTTTATTTTACAGCCTTAAAAGATTTCTAACTTGTTCCTACCTCCAGACATAGTCAAAGCATTGGATTAAGAGATATGAGGTAAGATTTTTGTACTTGTAAAATATTAAGCCATCTGAAAATCTTTAAATGGTTTCTGTTCCATATTCAAATCAGATGAGTAACCATTCGCGTTTAGGATGCTGAAATCAATTCTTTGTAAATTGTGGCCGCCCTGTCCAAAGTGTCTATGTAATATTTGTGTAATTTGTTTTCAATACGAAAATTGACCAAAGTGTATTAACTTATTTTCCTTTTAGCCTGTCACATAATCAACAGCTTTAACTTGGGTTGACTTGAAAATGAATGATGTTAAATAATCATTTTGGTAAGGTGTAATGTTTGTATTTTGTAGTCCAATGGGAGGATTGATATTTTTATTCTGACTTTCTCTTTTCTCACCAGAAACTAAGATTGTTTGATTTCTTTCACATCTCTGCACAAAAAATAAGGCAGTTGAAGTGAATAATAATTCAAAATGTTTCAATGGAAAAGAGTCTCAACTCGTTTAAGAAAAACGTGGTTTTTAACACTCGTTTTCTGGACTACTAATTATGAAACTCAGGAACTTTTAAGATTTGTGAAACTGATGAACGTTAAGGATTTACTTTTTAATAAGATTTTAATTTCACTTTAAACCAGGTCTATCATTCTTTGTGTCCATAGAATACTTATCGACTTTGAATCATATTTATTTTGTATTTATTCAGCTTAAGTCATTTTCCATGGTAATGTTTATATTAGCCATTATTTTTATTTGATTTAGTGAAAGACGAGTTCCAGTTAAGTTTGTTATATTCACTTCGGTGCAAATGCCTTTGGGAGAAGTTATACAGCCATCTCTTCCCCCCAGCTATGGGTTAATTATTAAGATTTGTATCACTAAATCATTAATAGTTAAATTCCCAGATGAATTCTGTGGACAAGACAGATTGGCATCAAATGACAAAAACATTTTGATTTCATTTTTGTCTTGAAAAAGTCGGAAGACAAAACGCATCGGCAAAATGTAAGATTTTTTCCACTTGTCATTAGATCATTAATATTTCCAAAAAATTATTACTATTATAAAATATTTTATGGCTTTAAATAACCTGCAAAGAGTTGATAAGTGATAAAAAAACGAAATCAGTCAGTTGAAATTTATAAAATCTAGTAAAACAATTTTACAGGAAAAGTTCAGTTATTGCTCTTTCTAGTATTGATATGGGGGCACTTCTTTCCTAAATGTTTGTTTAAAGTAGTGTAGAACATCAACAACATGATTGTCATTATTTTCTCTCTTAGTTACCTGTGCTATCCATTTTAGTTGTTGCTGCTGTTGGAAGTCATCAAGTGATGTTGTTTCAGTTATTTGGTATAGTTTTTTTGTTTGTGGACTGGTGCTACAGAATCATAATGTTCAAAGAACAATGGTGCTCACAAAGCAATTAAAGCCTTTATTTGCTGGACATCATTTTTAATCAGTGCACAAGATTCCATATAAGAGTTTAGATTTAACAAATCTATTTATGAAATGCTTTAGTTTTGTATCAATTTCCAGAGTTTGACCATTTTCCATTTCTTTATCTCTTAGACTTGTTATAACCGATCCCTACACCAAGTGTTTAGTATTTTACTAATTACACATAGTCGATATTTGTGAAGGATTCAGGATAGTTGCTGTCAATGTTTTCATTCCAATTCCAGATCATTGTCAATGTTTTGGAAAGAGTTATCTTTAATACGGCTTTCATTTTATGATTCTCACAAAGACCTACAGGCTTAATTTACTGGGTGTCATTGCCAATCATTGATCTGAGAAAGCAGTTATATGAAAGAGTTTCGTATCAAGTACAAGATCCATATAAGAGTTTATTGGTGTTGGTATTTGAAGTGTTTTGTATTTTACTAATTACACTTGCTGGATTTTTATGGAGGATTCAGGATAGCTGCCATCACAGTTTTCATTCCAATTCCAGATCATTGATTTCTCTTTTGGAAAGAGTCATCTTTAATATGGCTTTCATTTTATGGTTCTCACAAAGACGTACAGGCTTAATTTACTGGATGTCATTGTCAATCATTGATCTGAGAAAGCGGTTGTATAAAAGAGTTTCATATCAAGTACAAGATCCATATATGAGTTTAAATCTAATAAAGCTATTTACAAACATGTCTTTTTTAGGTTAATGCTTTGGTTTTGTCGCAATTTCCAGTGTTTGACCATTTTTGATTTCTTTATCTCTTAGTCTTGTTATAACCGATCCCTACACCAAGGTATTTGAAGTGTTTAGTATTTTACTAATTACACATGCTCGATATTTGTGAAGGATTCAGAGTATGCCCCATAAGTGATTTCTTATCTTGAGCTCTTTTTCTTGGAAACTTGGTAGAGGACATGTATTTTCTGTTCAAGATCATTGTTATCCCAACTATAAATACTTAGGTCATTATTAGTATGCTGCTTGGGATGAAAAGCAGGAATATTGTTTTCTATTTGATTCATTTGGGATATGGTATGGAATGCTTCAATGATCAGTGCTCATCTCTTCACATCTGTGCATGTATATACACAGTGCATATAGTCTAGTAAAAGATTAAATAGATTGGGGCATTCATTCTCCCCCTTGTCGTACTCCTGATAAGGTTCAAAATGATTAAACAAAAAACACCTCAATGAAGGCAAAAATGCCACTAAGTTGCTAGGTTTTTACTGAGAGTGAAAGACAATGAGAAGACAGCAATTGCATTTAAATTCTTGAAGATTGTAGATGACATGGAATTCTTTCAGTTTTTTTCTTCTCTAAGTGAAAAAAGAAACTATTAGAATAGAACTGGTTACATTTAGCTGTTTCAACAATAAAATTATGAGACCTAGTAGCCAATCTAGTAACATGTTTAAATTCATGCAATTGAACTACTAAGAAGGAAATATTTATAAGGAAGCCTTGTTACAGTAGTAGCAAAGTTGAGATGCCAGTTCAGGACTGATAACATTACAGACCATTCTTTGGATTTTGTTGTCAATATCAAGCTGTAGAGTAGGTGCATCAGGCAGGATGTGTCAGATAAACATGCAAACAATGGGAGCTAGCAATTGATTCAATATACTTTCATGTCAGTGGAAAACACAGACACCAAGAAAGTGCAGTAAGTTATTCTCCTAGAGGTTAACATCAGCCATGCTGGTTGATGGAAGGCAAAAAAAAAGGTTTTTAATCAGTATTAGAATCTTCCACAGATATAATTTTGTGGACATTTTCTCTATTAGAATTTGATAGAAGGACGTTTCTGATGCACAAGTCTCTTGGTGCGGTCATATGGTTGTCCTAAAAAAAGAGAGACAACACCAACAATGGTCAGAAATACTTAGTTAAGTAACGCTGTTTCACTCCAGTGAATCCATAAAAATTGATGTTTATTGAGACAGCAGCAGCAACTGTCCGCAGGGTTTGTAAAATATTTAACATTATTATAGCATGTTTATCGGGAGTTACCTCCCCTGTCGTAAACAGATTCTTAAATTTCTAGGAACATTGTATTCAGTGAATATACAACTTTTATTTATAAAAATGCTGTGCATGGTAACGGTAATGTAAAAACTTTATTCCTAGTTTAATTAGGGAAAAAAATCGTCCTTTTTCTTGTCTTTTAATTATCTAATATGCAGATAAGCAATTATGTCTCATGTTTGAGAAACTGACTAAAAACCTTAGCACTGTTTTTTTTTGTTTTTTTGTTTTCTCCGTTATTCTGTTCTGCATTAAGCAAATTCAAAATGAAAACAACTGCCAAAAACGATTAGAAAAACAACCGTTTTATTTTTTATCACAAAAGGACTGAGGATGATGTAGGAGGAAGGGGGGGTAGATACAAAGTGTTGGGTGGGGCACGTTAAAAAAAATGTGATTATCCTCATTCCTTTGTTAGGAATTGAATTAGTATCATTCTGAGGAATCAAATATATTATTTTCTCCTCATCCATATTTCTCTTTTATTCCAAAAAGAGAAATAAGTTGTTTTTTTTTTTTTCTTCCTGTGAGTAATAAGAAGAAAAAGAAAGTCTTTTTTAGTTTTGTTTTGCGTGGGCAAAAAAAAAAAAATAAATATTGCAAAGGCTACGCTTTTGAATGTTGCCATATTGCAGAAATTTTCTCTAGTCTGTGTGTGTTTCTCTCCAAAATCAATCCTAATTCTTAAGTATCCAAACATTTTTTTTTCTTTTGATTAAAATCTAAACATGAACAAATGTGGGTGATTATGCTCCCTCTGTGCAACACCAGAGAGAGAAGGGGGGGATGGGTGCGAGTGTATGTTAATATTGTTAAAATAAAAAACTTATTTTTCTACAATATGGAAACATTTAAATACTAGCCAAAAACATCTTTACACAGCGGTTCCATCATCACCCGGTGCTTCTTTTTGATTTGACAGGGCAATGAGTATTCGATCGAATATTTTATAACGATCTTTTGCTTCCGTGACAGAACCTTTTTTACCCCAGAGCAGGCGCAAATGAAATTCTGTCTTGAAAATTTCTTGGACTTCTGGATCATCTTTCATTTCACTAATAATTGTTTGGCCGCAGGTTTTGTATAAACCAAACTGTGATGAGATGATGCGGGCCGTGTCTAAGTGAACAAATAGACTCTCCAAGCCAGAATCAGAACTGTTTTTTTCCCACACTAACATGTCCATTATTGTATCTACATTCCGTTCTAAAAGACAGGCTACCGGGAAAATGTTGGGAATGCAGACATTCTGCAGTGGTAATGTTCCAGAACCTTCCATCAGCATTTGGTAAGTGGCACGGAGCTTCTTGTCAAAAATCATGGCACTGCCTGTATGGTTCTGCCGTAAAATCAGCCAGGTGTCGCTTAATCTCTTCACCTGGAAAAAAAAAATAAAAATAATTTCACTTTAAGAAATGTTTAATATTGAAAAAATTTTATTTCTGGTTTTAACAATCAGATTTGTACAGAGCTTACATTTTTATTTTTAATCAGTATCACCCCATGCAAGGCAGTAAAGCCACTAAGACACAAGGGGTTGCAGGGTGTAGAAGAATTAGGAACAGAAACATTAATAATGAGCAAGAAGAGAAAAGATTAATCAGGAGGACAGTAGATAACAATTGACATTGCATTTAAATATTTGAAGATTAAAGTTGGCTAGAAAGCATGGAACCAGAAGGAGTTCCACAAGCGAGAAGTGCAAAAAAAAAAAAAAAAGCTGTTAGCATAGTTACATCTAGCCAGCTAAACTGTAAATTCATGAAATCTTGACGCTAGTCTCTGACTGCACTTATATTCATCAAGTCCAGGTACCATAGCAAAGAGCTTATCCGTACAATTACCATTAAAGTATTGCAGAAAAGAGGCGTGAATGCTTGTTTTGCAAGAAATTCCATAGGTACAACAGATAAATTTAAAAATAATTATAACACAGCGCGTTCACGTGTGATTTTTAAAAATCACCATGACACTGAAATGCAGATTTTATCACATTTACGAGAATTTGTCTTTGTAATTTACTCCTGAGGAGGATCTTGGAAAAGATCGAAAGTAGTTGGGTAGGAAAAAACTATGGCGTCTTCCTTGATGTTAACGTGAAATTAATTAGAGGAGGACAGTATATAGAAACTGACACTGCATTTAAATTTTTGAAGATTAAAGTTGGCTAGAAAGCATGGAACCAGAAGGAGTTCCACAAGCGAGAAGTGTGAAAAAAAAAAGCTGTTAGCATAGTTACATCTAGCCAGCTCAACTGTAAATTGAAGACATCTTGACACTAGTCTCTGACTGCGCTTAAATTCATCAAGACCAGGTACCATAGCAAAGAGCAATATTTATTTGTAAAAATATTACAAAATGTGGCACAAGGCCGGAATGGGGGAGTCTTTTTCTGTCTTAACTTTAAACTGATTAGAAAACTGGAAAGGATCAGTATAAATAGACATATGTCAATATTATGCAATGAAACACATATATAATATAATATATATATATATATATATATATATATATATATATATATATATATATAAAAAAAAACAAAATAAAGAGATATAACCAACCATACATTTTTTTTTTAATCTACTCTCTCATTTCAATACCATTTCTCTATTATCAAATTTTCTCCTTTTTATTCTATATCTATTTTATATTAATTTCATGTCACTTTTATTCTGTCTTTCTTTCTTCTCTCCCTTTTTTAATATATATTAAGTTACCCACCTTCAAATTTAATGGAACTTTCTATAGTTCATTGTCCCTATTTTTATTTTGATCTTAGATCCTATTGTTTAACCACATTCTATAGTTATCCCCCCGCATATTAAACATTGAATTAATTTAAAATATAAATGTTGTTTCCCTAAGATTCATAGTTTTTGAAAACAACCATATCGAATAACTAAACCCATATTCGTATTTTACCTGTTCTTATTTTTATATTTTTTATTTAATACTAACTCAATATTAATTTTATATTTATTCTTATTTTACCTTGAATTCTATATTTCCTATTCTTCATCTTTTCCTTATTTCTTCTTCTCTCCAGTCCTCATCAAACTATCCTTAATCATTTATATTTTAACAGATTTTCTATTTTACATTATTTTCTTAACCACATATTATTTTTTGCATTTATACCCAAAGATTAAATTATTATAATTTTAAATATTGAATCAACATACTTTGAAAACACCCATATTGAAAAGTTCATACAACTGACATAGGTAATATGTATGTGTGTATATATATATATATATATATATATATATATATATATATATATATATATATATTTTTTAAAACGTTGAATAATTTAGAAATGTTCTGTCTACTTATTTTCAATAGGATCCTTTCATATTCACGGATAAGTTTTTTGGTGTCATTGAAATACAAGAGAAAGTTGCTGTGTTGATACATAATTCTTTTAATTGTTGTGTTCATCTAAAGTTAAATTTCTTGTGGAGTGAAGAACACTAAGTGTGTGATTGCTGACACTGTTTAAGGAGAGGTAACTAAGTATGGTTGTAGAGTTTTTTTTGTTTTTTTTTACAAAATAAAGTAGTATTAATAAAAACTAAAATCCAAAATTACCAAACATGGAGAAATAGCCTATTTCGGTAGATGACCAATATCATCATCTGCTGAAATATGAAGTAATTTTAGATTTTGTTGTTTATATTGCTCTAATAATTTTCTTTTTTTTTTTTGTGGATTAGATTTAATATTACTAGGATCCACTTGGATTATATACCAATGGATTTTTTTACATTTATATATATATATATATATATATATATATATATATATGTATGTACAGATAGGTTTTGTTGAATATTTTAGATATGTTCTGTCTACTTATTTTCCATGTTGGCTCATATTGCATTTATTCTGAGTACTTTACACATAGCATAAAGTCATCATCGGGATATTGTTAAATATAGAGTAAGTATTTAGTAAGTGTGTGTGTATATATATATATATATATATATATATATATATATATATATATACTAGATTAATTTCTTCCAACTATTCTCCTTCCCATCTTGGTTTTATTCTCTCATTTTGACTGGTGTATCATCTCCAACCATTTTAACAAATTCAAATTGGTAACCTTCCTGAAATTACGCATCCACTGTTCTTGTTCTCCATGAGAATCATCATTATTATCTCTACTAAATGGATACAAATTATTTAATGAAGATATACAACTGTAATTCACTGGATAATCTTAAGTTATATTTACCTGTTTCAATGTAATTCCCTCCATAATGCTGACAAAACTGAACAAATTTCCCATGGTGTTCTTTAATTCTGTAGCAATTTGAATCCATTTGCTGAGAATCTGGGCTCGTTCGGTTGTCTTATTGCAACTGAGAATTAACACAGCTACAAAAAACTGCAGACTGTAAGCTCTGAAATATAAATTAGATAAAAATCAATTGACATAGAATTTTCCACAATTTGAAAATGCCGAGATACAATTTTGAAAATAAGTTTACTATGTTTCATATCTGAAAATATCCAATGTATTCGGACAATTCTGAATACAGATTTTGGAATCAGAAAACTTAGATTAATCTTGTACAACATTTATCAGCCACAGACAGAATTTTCCATTTGCTCATTGTTATGAACAAAAATATCACTAAACTTTATTATTATTATTAAAGTATAGTCACTGAGACACCATTATGCCTGATGAAGAATGCAGACAGGTCAAGGAGTCTCTGTTTCTTCCTTTTAAGAAAACAATTTTGTCATTAGTCATTGACAGACATGAAGTTATCTCATTTGAACAGAACTTTTATAGTCAATTTATATTTAAGTAAAATTTACTCAGAAAATGCTGCCTTGAAAATTGCTTTAAATTGACTCAATATATGAATTTAAAAAAACAAAAACTTTTCTGACATCCTTATTTCTTTATTTGTTACTCTAACAAAACAAAAAAGTGGCACATCATAGTGCAACTTTTGTTAGCACAATACCATTAAAATGTTCTAACAAAAATCAAAATGGCAGATTTTGGTATTTGTCACTATATGCTAATAATTTTCATATTTCCCAATATGCTCAAGCTTTTTGAATGCTGATTAATATTCACATAAAAACTATGGTCATAAAATGAAGCAAACAAATTTGTCAATTTTAAAAAAAAAAATTGAAAGATACATTTTTTTTTTTTTTTTTGAGAAATTAAAGATCAAAGGTTAAGTTCAATGTCAAATTATCTTATTTGACTTAAATGAAAAATAAATAGGTGACCTTTTAGATCTATTCAAGTACTTTAAAATGGTATATAATTTAGCTTTGTGGGTGAAAAAGCAACTGAGATATTGATATTTAAGCTTTTCCAAAATTCACCTTTTTTTGGCAAGAGTCAAAGGGTCATATCTCGGGAACCCTTTGACCTAGAGATGTAAAATAGGTACCATTCAATTTCTGTCCTGAAGCTCTATAAATGTACCAAATTTGGAAAAAAAATCTGCATCATGATAGTTGGACCCTTGTTGATTTATTACGAAACAACTATTAGGTTGGGGCAAAAATAATGTCGTTTTTTGACGTTCAACTTAACGTCAAAAAACGACATTATTTTTGCACCAACCTAATATTACAGATTCATTGAATATAAATCAAAATATTTGAAGCAATTTTTGTTTTAATTTTGATGATTTTATGGCTTACAGCTGATAAAAATCAAAATTTCATAATAAAAAATAGATTAATAATAGATAAATATCAAACATTTGAAATGCATGTTGATTCATGCACTCAATACTTGGTTATTGACTCCTTTGGTAGGAATTACTACATCAGTGCAGCCAGGCATGATCAGCCTGTGGAAGCTGATGTTGCTTTGATGGTAGCTTTCTGTAATGTTGTTTTTTTTTTTTTTTTCCTCTGGGCCACATTTTCAGAATTAAAATTTGCTTGCACCTCAACAAATTTTATGCAAGAAAAAGTACATTTAAAAATTTAAAAAACAAAACAACAAAAAAAACCCAGAGAGGGTTAAAGAGAGATAACCACGGATTTGTCAGAACACTGTCATTGATAACTCTCTCCTCCAATTTGCAGACCCTAGTTATTATATTCTTAATCTTATATATAAAGTAAAGTATATATGTGTTTGTGGGTGTGTTTGTCCAAACAACTCCTCCACTCCCACTGGTCCAATTCGATGATTCATAGCACATTCAAAAGCCCTAGAAAAGTTAGGCACAGGGAACAATTTTCACTGAACTCAGATTCAGGGTTGCCAGATTATGCAAGGTTAAAAATATATATTAATATATTACACTAGCCATTATCTTTGCTTTCATGGTTCAAGCAGAGTAACTTTTATTTTCCTTTTGCATGCAAAATTGCAGTGCATGTTTTATTATAAACTAGCTTCAAAGCCACCCTATCAGATGGCATTTACGCTAGCTGCTATGGAGGATTCTTGGTTTGGCTATCATCACAATAGCTAGGGATGAGTAGATGCGATAGGCAACAATAAACTACAAAAGAACTCAAAATTGATTGCTGCATTTACGTATTGAATTAATGTTTAAGCTTACCTTTTAAAAGTTCAATGATAATTCTTCTGCTGCCACTTAATTTTAAAGACGATTTGATGTACGCAGATCCTTATTTTCCATATACACAATTATTTTGTTGGTGACAGAACAGAGGACAATTTATAAGATAAAATTAATATAGTGTAAAGATGGGAAAATAGAAATAATTATACATTCAACATTTGAAGAATTATAGAAACATAATGGATAATTAAGTAAAACCTATATTATGGAATCTATATGAATAAATGTGAAATTGGAGGTAAAGTCCCAGCTCTATAGTAATTTGTATTTACTTAAGAACCCCCCACACACACACACACACACACACACACACACACGAGGTCAGGTTGTGACACAAGGTCGGTTTAATGTGGGAAGCCCAAGCGCATACACCCAGACTAGGAACAAAAATTCCCCTGGCCTCATTACAAGTGCTGAACCCTCTCTTTAGTGCAATGAGAGGGCATAGCCTCGTGCAGCTGTTCCCCAGGGCTGGGTACCTCTCAGTATAATTTTCCTCAGTTGCAACTCTGTCAAAGGACAGAGATGCAACTGAGACATGATAAATTGGGTGTTACAACTACTCAAGAGTAATTTACACAGTAGAGATTTATTTTGTAAAAATACAAAATTGTGGCACAAAGCCGAAAGGGGAGGGGGGTGCTGAGGATGGTCATCGCTAATATCCTATACCTAGCTAATGCGATTCACAACCCATTCACTTGTTAAAATTTACCACCGGGATTTATTTTGTAAAATACAAAATTGTGGCACAAGGCCGAAAAGGGGGAGGGGGTAAAGGCTGGTCTTCACTAACTATCTTATACCTAGCTAATTTGATTCACGACCCATTCAGACATTACAATTTACTCATTCACCATAAGAACTCGTCCGTCACCACTCAATCCTCCATGCACCATAATACCACATCCACTCTAGGGAGACCTACAAAACGCGCCCCGTTATCATAATGATCCTAACACATGTACAAAATTTAAGATGAAAAAAAAATGAGAGGGGGGAGATGAACCCAATAACGAACTGAAATATTTAACATAAATGAAATTAAACGTTAACTGATGTTAGTAGGGCCCGTTCAACCTCAAAAAGGCAGGGAGACCACTGTATTCTGCCCATTGGAACAAAATCAAGCAGCTCTCTCGCTAAGGGAGTGGGAAAGGTGATAAAAAATCATACGGGCATGGGGAAGTATAAAGCTGACCCAGTCAAGATGGAAAATGGGGGGCCAAAAAACAAACTGGGGAGGTTGGGAATCTCAGGCTGGATCATAACTAAAGATGTGGCCGGTGGGCAGGCCGGGAACAACACTTACTTGCATTAACTAGGTACACCAAAGCTTGTCTAACCTAACCAAGGGGAGGGCACCACAGGAAGCCACCCATTTACCACCTTCAACAAAAGAACCTGTTCGTCATCAATCAATCCTCCATAATACCTATCTGTATTATATATTATCTACTTTTAGGCAATATCACTCTTCAGGTTTAACTAATTTGCATATTGATTTTTAAAAAGTTTATTTCCTTAATTAGCTGTCCTTCATTACTGTTCTTTTATTCGAGGATTGTTTTGATTTTCATAGCAAAAATAGTTCTGTTTAGGAATATCGTCTTATATAGTCCAGAAAAGTGTTAGAAATTTGCATTTTACTTGGCCTTCAACAAGTTGGCATCTATTTGTAAAACTTTCGTTAACTATTTAAAGTCAATTTATGAATGAAACGTTCATTTAAAATTTTTGTTTCAAAGATTTCAAGTAGCAAATATATCTTACTTGGCAAAGCCTGCTAGTAGTTGATATAATCTTTGATTTGTCTTTCAATCATTCCACCACACCTATGAGACAAAACACTGTCACACACCAATTTAAGTGTATTAGCTGGCCAGTCAAGCTCTCTAACAATCAGTAAACTGGTTAGCAGTAGTTTTGGGACACTGTTGAAGGCAGCAAAAAGGAATCACCAATCTCCATAAAACTTGTCACCAAATAGAAGTATGAAGTGCTTGAAAATTTGGTAAATGTTTACGTTAACTCTGGACAAACACTTAACACCAGCAGATGACATGGTACCCCAAATTAACTTTTGACCCTGGACTTCAAACAGTTCAGATTCTGTGCCTCTCCACCTTTTGTCCAGAACCTTAATTTACAAATGAAATGTAAAATTCACATTCATCTGAAAAGCAGACTTTTATACATGATGACTGACAACTCATTAAGAGTATGACCATTGTTGACAAGTTTGATCCATGATTTTAGCTCTGGTGAGAACAACAATGGCTCTTGAAGCAAGAAAGCGACTTGCAATTTTTATTGCACATGTGACAAACTAAGTTGTTCTTTACAGGGCCTGGTTTGTTTTGTAAATTTTTTTCAGCTTGCTCATAGGTTTTCAAGTGACTGGTGAAACTGGAGTTCTTTCTGCAGTTTTTCTGACACATTAAATCATTCATAGATTTGTCAGAGGTCTATCATTATGACGCTTTTTGTGGCTAATGAGGCCTGCATTATAGGGATATACTCTGTTACATTCATCACATGTAAAAAGCTGTGTAAACAATCCAGATTTTTTTTTCTTCATAAGGACATATTTTTTCAAGTACAGAAGTGACTTGACACAAGTAATGTGATGCATGTAGCCCATTTCCTGCACACGTCTGTACATAGTTGTCCTTGATGCACTCGATCCAACCAGACATCTTGTAAAGCGACTGCCAAGTTCATGAATCTGCATTGCTTAGACAATCTTCTGCTTTATTTCTCACCATTTCTTAACACTCCGTTCCTTTCCATGAACAAACTTTTATACAGCACGATATATCTAGCCATCTCCTTTCAACAACAAAGGGGTTAATGAATACCTTTTGGACAATTGTCACGTTAGCAGTCTTCCCCATAATTATGGGAACACTGAAGCAGACTAAGAGATTCATGGGACTCAAACTGCATAAATAGAAAGTTACTCAAACTTGAAATGGAATATTCTAATATTTTAAGTCTTTTTTACAGCTGTAATTATCAAAATTAAAATACAAGAATTTGGAATAAATACAACTTTCACTTTCTAAAAGATTGAACCCTTCTAGGATATTCTAATTGTTTGAGATACATTCACATTGGGCAGGAATTTCTCTTTTTATAAGTTTCATTAAAAACAACTGACAAGGTACTATGGTTAAGTTTTTCATTTAATTCGGACAATTTCTACATAATTTATATCCAGAAAAGAAAAACATTATAAGAACACAAGAAAAATTAAATAAAAAATAATCTTAATCACAGTACCTTGTCAGTTGCTTTTAATGAAATATATAGAGTTTTAAGGTATGATATATTTCTGGGTAAAGGTGGTTAATATTAGAAATAGAGCATATATATATATATATAAAGTGGACATTAAGATAAACACCAAGAATACACCATTGACCAACATATATAAATAGTTGAGCCAAAACACAACATGGATGGCCTGAAGATTGAATTCAAGCATGAAACAGACTGTCGTTGCTTGGTGTTGACCTGTGTCCACTCTAATAAATGTATGTGCATGTTTAAAATATGCTATATTTATGGGGGAAATGTATTCAATATTTGAGAGAGAGAGAGAGAGCATTTGTAGGTGTGGACACAAGAATTAACACTGCATATCACTTCCACGACTTAAATGATCACTAGACCAACTATAATTACCATAAACATTTCTTTTAATGTCTATGAGTGTTTGAGTTGACATCTGTCTTTTTATTTTCTTAAACTGTCAAGTATCAACTGGCCTAGACAGAGAAGTCCCACTAACAAATAATAGTGATTATTTAATGTTAAATTTAGGGGAAAAAAAAATATTAGTGTTTATATTTTAGGCCCAAAACAAGCTTGCAGATATGGATTTCCAACAAGAGGTTTGCATTCCTTAACAAGGTATTTGAAACTTGTTTCATCAGATGGCCTCCTGTGGCCAAATTGGTAATAGCAGTTTTCATAAGACAATTTTTCTTTAGTGAGTCATCCCCATCTTGGCTAGTTGATATTAATTTCACTGTTTAAGATCATAAATAACACGGATAATGACATGTAGCCAGTGAAAATAATGTTTAGAGTAACAAGAAATATAACCTATATAAATAAATACGAATGTCAGTGTGTCACACCTTTTCAACTTTACATTGAGAGGCCGTAGTTCAACATATCATACAATTTTCAAATCAAACTGACTCTGAGCAAATTAAAAACACTCTGGGCCTGATCTGGACAAGCAATCCTGAAATTTTGGATTCCAAAGTTTTCATTACTGGAATTGTTTTCGGTTAATTTTTTTACACATTATTTTTGTGACATTTTTTTATGGTAATGATTTTATAACTTGGAAATAAATTTGGGAATAATTTAAATTAATTGCGAAATCCAATGAAAGTCACCTGTGAAATAAAAATAATTGTTTGTACGGAAAATAAAGACCTATGTACATCAAATTGTTTTTAAATTAAGTAGCGGCAGAAGAATTGTCATTGAACATTTAAGAGGTAAGCTTACATATTAATGCAATACTTATATGCAGCCGTCTGTTTTGAGTTCTGTAGTTTATTGTTTCATATTGCATATGGCAGCAGTATGCCTTGCAAAAAGAAATCTCCGCCAACAGAGGACCAGATTGCAATCAAAAGATCCAAGGCTGCAGCGTGGAAATGAAAATCCCATGCAAATGAAAACCCAGATCAAACAGCAGCCAGGAGAGCTTCCAATGCTGATAATATGCAAAGATTTAGACTCTCAAATTCTTGAACAAGCCAAAGTCCCAATCAAAAGCCCTTCCACCTGATAGGATGGCTTTTAAACTAATAAGAAATAAAGTTAGCTTAAAAAATCATATATATGTTTTTTTTAATGTAATTTTATTTCTGTACATATTTGGGCAGCAATCCTCGTTTTATACAAGTTTCATTAAAGATAACTAACAAGGTTTTGCAATTAAGCTTTTTATTCAATTTTTATTGTATTTATACAAGTATTTTCTTTTCTGGACATAAAGGGTGTAAAATCTGTCTAAATGTTTGACATATCCAAGGCCAAAGAGACTTGGATATAATTGAACATTTACACAGTTTTTACACAGTTTATGTTGAGAAAAAAAACATTTGAATGAATGAAAGAAAATTTGAATAATAAGCTTAATCTCAGTACCTTGTTTGTCATCTTTAATGAAAAACTGTGTGTGTGTATATATATATATATATATATATATATATATATATACACACACATATATTATATATATATACACACACACACACACATAAATATATATATATATATATATATATATATATTATAAGATATTTTGAATGAAACTGTTTAAGTATTTTTAATGAAATTGTGTGTGTGTGTGTGTGTATATATATATATATATATATATATATATATATATATATACACACATACATAAAAAAATGGACAAAGTCCGACAATTATTTTAAGATATTTTTTTATTGTTATACGTTATTTATATAGATACAAATATTTAAGTAAATGCTTTGTTTATAATAAACAGTATTAACAACATTTACCGGCCTGAATATCTGAGAAATTCCATAGAAAATATGCGTCTTCACCATATGCTCCTTCAACAGCTAAACTGGTTTAGCACATCAGTCTATATGACGGTTCCGTGTAGGATACAGGTTCAATTCCTGTTGGGGGACACATATTTTCTATGAAATTTCTCGGATGCTCAGGTCAGCAAATGTTGTTTATATTGTTTATTATAAAGAAATCATTTACTTAAATATTTTTGTATATATAAATAACGTATAACAAAAAAAAATATATATATATATATATATATATATATATATATATATATATATATATAAATGCATACATAATGTTTAATTTTCAAGTGAGGATTGGTGTCATGATTAATAAACAAAAGATTACCATTTTTTACTTACCTTTCTATAATGTCTTGCCTTAAGAGTGTTCCCTGAGGTAGAGTAATCAACTCTAAACCAGAAGTGACCCCAACTCCTAAATCAACATTTTCAATAATCCGAATAAAATCCAAATCAAGTTTTGTCAGGTTTAGAGCAATTTTTCGAGGGTCATTGTCCAGCAGAAGACGTCGTACTGTCATTATAGAGGAAGCATCTAGTGGCTTATTCTCTTCGGGCAAAAGCGTTGTTGTGTAAGCAGTCAGATTAAAACTTCTTTGATATTTATTCATGTCGGGAATACTTATCTTTCGAGATTTTAGGTAAGTTGCATCATAGATATGGTCCGAGGTTTCTTCGTCAATTGAGTTTTCATTGTTTGTATCCAAAAGAGGAAATTTTGTCTTACAGAGAAACTTTCCTTTCGAAGTGTTCTTCCCATTTTGACCATCGTATATTCCAGAGTTTGGGTTCCCATTTTTTAAATTTTGGTGGTAAGTAAACTCCAGCTTTTTATCTGCTTTTATCCAGCTCGGGGTCGACAACACTTGATCCAGATCACTATAATCCCTATCATCACTGTACAGATTGGCATTTCGAATTTCAATCGTTGGTCTTTGCTTTGATTTTATCGATGGAATCCTGCTTGGTTTTGGTGGCGGTGCCTTTGACAGACTGCTCTCAGAAGAAGCAGGGTTTAAGGCATTGTCTGGTACCGTTAAGAAATTAAAGGTTCTGTTTGTATTAAAGGGTGTAAGTATCGGCTCGCTGCCTGATCGAGCGTGCCGTCCTTGTGGTGTTGGAGGGATCACATTGATTGGAGTTGTAATTGGGGAAACTGGAGATCCGTGTATCATTGGTACGCTGTCGGAACGTCCTAAAGGAGAAGAGGGTAAAGGTGATGGGTCATTGTTTGGCTCATCAAAACAGAGCATTGGCTGGCTGCCTGTACGCTTAGGGACACGCCGTCTTCCATTAGGGCTTCCTGGAGGGGTAGGGGTCGGGGTTACAAAGGGGCTGGGTTTAGGACTTGCATTTGGGGTGCTAGAGTGGAATCCCGTCGTTTTATTCATTGGGGATCCATATTTCATGTCGTAGTAGCTGAGTGGAAGTAGACGAGCAATTGGTTGCTTTAGAATGACATTAGACGCCTTTGTGACAGGTTTGCCAGTTGTGACGTAATGATCAATAAGACTTTGTATAGAACTGAACTGCTCTTCTTCCAAAAAATAGGTGACCTTTGGTTTGGAAAAACCTACCATTAACACTTTAGAATTAATGATAAAGTGCATTGGCACTCCATGCCATCCACATGTCAGAACAAAATCGCCGGGTTGCGAAATACTGTCACGAATCAAAAAGTCACCATTTGTTTTTACAAGCTGCTCCGAACAGGGTCTGGTGATGTGACCGTGATACCAGTTGTGACTTCGGAGATCAGCCGGGTCACCTTGCAATTCTTCTTGTAGGTTCTCTTGTAATTTCTCAAAAGAAATGGGGAGGGATTCACTAGGTGTTGATGACCTGGGGACAAAAAAATAAGAAGAAATAGAAGACATTAAAATAATGGATACTTCAGTTAATATAAGGAAGTCTGGGGAACACACTGGCCAAAACAATGATGAAAACAACAAACATGAGGATACTAGTCCAAATAATGTCCCAATAATAGTATAACAGATTCATTCCCTGAAAAGAAAAATGTCATCAGATTATTGTGCTGGACCCAATTGTCCAAGTCTGACATCTGGTCCTTTCTAAAACTTCAATAGTCAAGAGCAGTGCTCCCCCCCTCTAAGTGTCAGATAGAACTTAATTACAATCTCTTACCTCCTTGCCTAGAAAGGAAATAAAAAAAAAAATCATGGTTAATCACAGTAAATATTTCTTTTTTTTTTCTTTCAGTTTTGTGAACTGTTCTTGTAAAATGAGAAAGATGATTATTTTTCAATTTCTTTGTAAAATGCAATTTCAAAATAGAACATTTTAATCATTAATATACACCATGTTGCATCTTCATCTACTTCAATCCACTGAGAAATGAAACCACCATAGATTTTTATTCATGGCATTCTATACTACAGGCCAACTCATGGTACAACTAAGCATCAGATCTGGAGGCCTATTTTATAATATTTGAATTTTAGAAATTTTAGAAGAAAAGTTAACATTCTTAATAAATTAATTTTTCATCAATTTTGTAGAATTATTACATATGCTTCTATTTTATGCTTTTTAATGGTAAATTAAAATTCAAAATATTTTTTTAAATACCTTTCAGAAAGAAAAACAAATTATTCATAAAAAATTAAATTTTATCATAAATATGTTGTTATTCATAACAAAATATCAGAGAAAAATGCTCAAAAATCACTGCGTCTTAGCACTAAAAGGTTGTTTTTGAGTATTGATGATAACTTGTAGGCAGCTTCCTCCTGTAAGTAAGTCTTTGTTCATTTAGGCATACCATACAGTATCTTCACAAAGCAATATTATGATGATAACTTTGTTTCCTGAATTCTGTTGGGGAATGATTGGTTGTGACAGTGCACAAGTCACAGAAGCTTGTACTGATGACTGTAAATAAAAATGGCTGATACTGCCTCTGTATACACTTTTTTCTATTCTGTATTACTAAATTATTTAATATTACTTACTATAATAATACAAATGGATAGTCAATAATATACTCAGTACATTAATAGCAGATTGTGGTCAGTGATGATGCAGAAGCAAAGCATCATTTCAACTTTTGAATACAGCTTTGAAATATTAAGACACTTTGTGGCTTATCACAAGCCAGAAGGTATGAGTTGTTTTTCATGTGAATTTGTCTAAACTATTGAAAATCTAATTAATAATAATAATAACCACAAAAGTCCAAAATGTGATAATTTATTGGGACAGAAAGAAAACTGACACTCTAGAGTCAATGACTTGGACTTGCTAGTGTGGTAAGATATTAAATCCTCAAATATTTTTTTCCCAAACCTAAAAGCTAATTCGAGTGTATATTTTACCATTTGTAATGTCTTATCACATGGGAAATACAGTACATTTTTACCTTGTCAGAAACAAAAATATAGATTTGTGCAAAAAGAATTAAAGTTTATCATCAGTGTATTTTTTTTAAAAATTCAACAGTAAAGAAAATTAAATTAACTTCCAAGTGACAAAACCAAGGTTTCTAAATTAGGAAAAAAAAAATTGTTTTTGAAATTTGCATAAAATTATATAGCAAGTCCAAAGGAAATAAAATAAATAAATCTTATACTTCTATGTTCCATGTTCTTTCAGGGTGTGGGTGATTGTGGCTCTTCACAATTTCCTATCCTTTGTAGCTCTTTGTAAATTTTGTCTTTTTGCTAATCCTTCTTCTGCCAACCATTTACAGAAACTTGTTAAGCAGGGGGTTATACACTGCTTTGTTCTGTCTCTTTTGTTTTTAATATGTCCTGTGAGTAGGAAATTTTCTAGGCCTTCTTTCTTCTTTATGTGCCCTAGAAATTTTAACTGTCTCTGTCTGATGTTAAGTTACTTCAATTAAATAAACTAAAGTTATTCCAAGTTTAAAAACAAAATTTTCTTAAGTCAACTACAGCAGTGTACTATCACAAACCCAAACTAAAATTTGTGTTGCTACCAATGGAACAAGATGATTTTGAAATAAGCCTCAAATTCAGGTCTTTAGTTACACCATGAGTTGGCCTGTAGTATAGAATGCCATGCTCTTATTTCATTATCTAATGTAACTTTCTCCTCCCACAATAACAATAAAAAAAATAAATATCTACAGAGAGAAGTCTTTAACCTACAAGCTACATAACTGTATCAAAGCTGTACCATCCTCAACTAACAGATGGAACCACCATAGCCTCTTATTTCATTGAAGCAATATCAACCAAATTTGCGGCCACAGAAATTCAATAGCAAGAAGCTTTTGTCACAAAGTTATTGTTCTTTTTTAAGAACTTATTTTTGTGCGCTGATTAGAAAAGGAACTTTTTGTTTGATTCTTTCAGCATGAGATCAAATTTCAGTACATGTAGAAAATCAAGCAAGGAATATTGTCCAACATGTACAAAGACACGGACAACTGAGCTGAAAAACTTTGGAAAAAATAGCAGAAAATGACTTACGGTGATAAAGGTGTATTGAAAGACTGGCACCAGGAGTTTCTTTTGCCTGAAATTAGAATTAAATTTAAAATGTTTGAGATTACGAGGAGCAAAAGATGAACCAAAAGCAAAAAAAAACGAATTCCGTGTTTGTGTGTGTGTATGTAAAAATATAGTTTTAAGGTATTCTATATAAAAGTTAAAAGTGCTCAATATCAGAGATAGAGCATATGTAAATATAAAAGTGGACTGAGGTCAACACCAAGTGGCGACAGTCTTTTTCTTGCTTGAACAGAATCTTGTATTCAGGCATGAAACAAACTGGTCATAATACTTGACTTGGGAAAGGATTATGTCATTTAGGAAAAGAGATATTTGAAAAATTCCAGAGTGCAGATTAACATTTTGGCAAGATTCAATAGCAGCACTCTCAAGAACTTTCCATTTAAGTTAAGTTTTCTCTTTCACTAAGTGTAGCAGTCTTGAGATTGATCTAAAGAAATATCCCATTTATTAAAAGAGGAAATTTAAAACTGAAAAGCTAATCATATTTTTTTTTACTTCTGTTTATAAATACACTAACAGTAGAGCCTGGCGTTGCCCGGGGATGTAACAGTAAGAGATAGATCAAGTATCGACAATCATAAAGACTGAAAAATAAAATTGACAAAGATTATTGTTTAAGGTTGATGGACACACATGTCTTAATTAGTTTTTTTTGTTTTTTTTTTTACGAATTGGTCAAATCCAAACTCAAACAAAAACATTGTTTTCAATCGTTATGAGTCTACCGATTGAATAGAATTTTATTATAAACAATTGTCTTGAAAATGGAATTTTTAAAGCATTCTGAATGTAAAAATAAAGAAAAAAGTGTGCAAGACAATAAGAAACACTACCTGCCAAAAAAAAAAGTGAAGTTTTGTTGAAATCAGTTGAAAAATGTAGGAAATTCAATCCAATATATAAACGAACACACACACACACAACCTGGGTTTTATGATAAGTATAACTCGATATGAGTTGTCCCCCTTTCATTCTTGCGATGCCTCTTAATCGTGTTTTCAAATTGATTTAGTGCAAAAACGATTGTGTTTTTCCAATTTTTGGTGCTGTTAGAACCACCGCAAGGTAATTTTACGTAGTCCTGTGAAGTTTTGTTGAAATCGGTTGAAAAATGTAGGAAATCCGATCCAATATATAAACGTACAGACAAACACACACACACAACCTGGGTTTTATAATAAGTATGATGTTACAAAGTACATTTGCTTTGATAAAGTCCATCAAAGGACGAACTGCGTCAATAAAGAAGAGTTTTGTCTTTATTCATACACACACACACACACACATATAAGTAAAATGCACACACTTGACCAATGGGAATTCATTGAAATCTGCTTACTGAAATTGACAAACAAATTTTTAATGAATTTTTCAAGTCGATGTTAAAGTTGGTGTAAATCTGGATCAAAGTTATAAAGAAATCGTCTAAATTGTTTTTGGTTCTAATTATTTCCATCATTGCTTGTCATTATCAAGAACAGTTGATGTTTATGTTTTATCCATTTAACATCCAGAAATGTTTACATTTTTATCCTACCGTTTTTGAGAAAAGTGACAATTTTGAATCCATGTCTTATCATAAATGACGTCATAGTTGGTTTGTAACAATATGGATATACATCTTTAAACTGTTTGGGGGTCACGTATGTTGACAGTGCTTAAGTACCAATTCATTATTGAATTAAAAAAAATTTAAATACATCTTTAAATACCTTTCTCTTCTGTTAAACAATATTGTGTTTAATATGGATTATTTCTTTAGTAGAAGAAAACTTCATGTATTTCGTATTTTTCTTTTTAGTGTTCTCTAGTAGTTTATTGCTATTTATTTGTACTTTGCTCGTCTAATAATATTAGTCATTTTGTGGTCTTGTGTGTTCAGTGTAAATAAAAATTGCATTAAGTTTTGATAAGTAGTATGTTAACCTGAGAGAGAATACTCCCTCCCAAACACACAAAGGATGTTCCAAAAGTTTTAAATCTAAATATAATCCCAAATTATTTTATTTTATTTATAACATATATTTTACTTATATCTATTGCTTTGCAAAAATTTTAATGTTTCTTTCATAGAAATGAGATTCCAAGCAACTCTCCTGGACGACAGAATCTTTAATTTTGTGCGCCTGGGATACAAAACATGAGCATCAAAAAAGCAGATAACAATGCCACCACTGCCTCATCTGTTGCTGACCTCAAGTGTTGTTTGTCTGTCATCTCCAAAGCCTACTTTCACTTTGGGATGGAAGCAAATACAGGCAAAACATAAATACTTGTGCAGCCTGTTCTGAGACATGAAACACCAGAAAATACTATTAATTTATGGAACTTGCCTTTACAAGTTGTCAACAACTTTCAATACCTTCGCAACACACTCCTACTGTTTGGAACATGTGAAAGAGACATTGAGCACCGCATGAAATCCAATCATTGGACCTTCAGAAAGAATCAACAAGCACATATTCAACAACTACAGACTCTCTCTCCAAAACAAACATATGCTTGTGAAATGTACTGGGCCCTGTATCAAAAGGACCTGAAAAATGCTTGAATGTTTCAAACAAGCCAAGTTCTGGCAGGAATGATGTACCAACAACAAAGTCCCCAATCGTTCAGAAATGCTGAGCATTGAAGCTGCCATCCTCAAGCATCACCTCAGGTGGTCAGATCATGTCACCCGAATGGCCTCTTGAAGACTCCTGCAAACAATCCTTTACAGCAAGCTCATCAACAGCAAATAACATCGCAGTGCCTGAAAATGCAGATTCAAACACCGACTGAAGTCTACCCGCCTTTCAAGCCAGAATCAGCCCTTACACCTGGGAAATAGAAGCTGCCGACTGTCTATCGTGGTGAAGAGCAATTCTTTCGGTTGTTTCACTTTTGAGGAGAGGAGAAAGACTGAAGTGGAAGTAAAAAGAAAGCACGACAGGGTCCAGCAGCTTCTGTCAAAACATCACCTGCCCTGCCATACAATCAATGCCCATGACTTTTCCATTCCTGACTTGGCTTCTTGAGCAATGTCAGGTTCAAACATCATGGAAGCATCAGATGAAGCAAACTTGGACACGACTGGTACCAAAAATGATGAAGAGCTTCACAATTAGACAGTGGTTCCTTTTGCAAATGGGGAATCAGTTTCAAATCCTGCAGCAACGCACATTTTCATTATTAAGTTTTCTTGAGTATATAAGCCAGTAGACAAAATAAACATTGTTTAAACGAAGTATCTCCTCAAAAACTAACATTTGAAATAATATATGAAATGAATGCAGTTGTTTTCATGATAATTCTTAAAAACACCCATCAGATGTCAATCAATTTTTCTAAGCAATGATTTAGAGGAAAATTAAATTTTCAAGACAGATTTTCAGTAAAAAAAAAAAAAAGTTATCCCATAATCATTAGTCTGTGAAAAGTAAAGACTAAAATGATTGTATCAAAATGATTTTCTATGAAAAAATTAATATAAAATATCACAGATTACAAGGGGTAAATGCATTACTAATGATTTTATTAGAGAAATACATTGACAATGAAGAAGGGATTGTCAATGGTCAGGAATCAAAGCATTTCTAATAGAATGTTACTTTTATCATGTCAAGGCATTACTATTGATTTTACAAATGCAGTGAAAATCAAACGAAAGGGATTGTCAATGGTCAGGAATTAAAACAAGAATTATCACATTTAATTTCAAAGTTAATAGATTTTTTTTACACTTAAAAAAAAAGAAAAAGTTAGTTTTACCTGTGGATCGCTGGTATTTGTCACGCAAACAACATAAACTAGTGACCACTTTGGCACGATGTGCACAATTTTTGATGCCAAGGTCTCTGATTTCTGCTTCACTGAATCCAAGCAAATCCTGAAAAATAAAAAAAAAATATTTAAGTCACAACCAAGTAAATCCTGAAAAATAAAAATATTCAAGTCACAACCAAAAGTCGAGACAAAAATCAAAGTGGAAGATTTGTGGTTTGAAAACTGAAAACATTCTGAACTTTCCAAAACATCTTCAAGAAATGTTGCTCAATTCGTCAAAGCCAAATGTCAAAATAAACTTACAAAATTTGATGCAATTATTGATCAGTTCTTGTAAATATCTATCTGTGTATAGGACAGGTGTCCACGCAAAATTAACCTATGAAAGAATCCGGGTTTTTGCTGGTCATTAAGCTTATCACAAAAGCCATGATTATTGAGTTTGATTCATGTGCATTGGCTACCCTGGGTTTCTTGTTTGTATTTTTTTTTTTAAATCATTTCACTCTCAAGCAAGGCAATAAAGCCACTAAGATGTAAGAATTTACTGAGTGTGAAAGAATATTAGAAAAGGAAAAACATTAAGGAGCGAGAACAATAAAAGAACAGGTATTTAAATTTTTGAAAATCAAAATTGTCTGGAGACCAACAAATCGAAAGAGTTTCACAAATAAAAATTGTGAGAGAAGAAACTGTTAGCATAGCTAATTCAACTGTAAATTGATTGTATAAGAGTAACAGTTATGGTTAACAAGTAATCTCGCAAATCATTGCTTAGGTAACAAATTCAATCATTAGGAGTGTGGATTTGTAACAGATGAAGTTAAATTTAGAAAATATTTATATCTGTGAGAGAAATTTGACCAGGCTCATATTACAAGTAAGTTTGATCTGAACTAAACAAGAAATAAAATATCTCCAATCAGACAAATCTATTTTTAAACTTAATGGAAAAAAAAATCTATTTTACATAAAAAAAAAAAAAAAATCTTATGAATTATATTAAGTAAAGAAAAAACATCTAAACACAACTGTGTTGTTGGGAATTCTAAAATGAAACAATATTTCTTCCATGAACATTTCAAAAACTAGTATTTTCAAGTGTTTTTTTTTTTATTTGTTCATATCAACAAGCTGAAGACAGGGAGGGAAATGAGGGGAAGGGGCAGAATGTTGCAAAAGAAGAAATAATTTAGTTCATCTTAGAAAAGAAACGTAGAGGTCAGATCAGAAGATGTCCCAATAATTCAGTGCACACAAATGTTGGGTGGGGGTAGTTGCTGAACATTGATCAAGTTTTAGCTACTAACAAAAAATGTGTGACACAAATGAGAAGAATTTAACATAGAATAAATGTTTACAGAATTATTTACAAATATACATTATCATTTACAGAAAAGATAAACCTAAGGAGCCAGGCAAACCTACCTAGGTTTCACCTAAACAGATTGTCAGGGTAATGCTGGCCAAAAAGGAAAAAAATGGAACAGAATATATAGCTTTCCAAGTGGGTACCACCATATATATATATATATATATATATAGGGAAAATTTATGACAAAGTGTAAAAAGTTTTTGTGTGATGCGTTTCTGCCTTTAGGATATTTACAGATTAAATTTGTTTGTATGACTATACACATGAGGGATGCTGGGAATTTTAAACTTTTTTTTTTTTTTTTTTTTTTAGCCGATTTCATTTAGATTCTTGAGTGCCTTGATCACAAAGCCATCCACAGTAAATTTGCTCCCAAACTCTTTCAACGTTTCACCATTCCTGACAGAACTTCTATTATCACAGCTTCGGATAACTACCAGCAAAAGTGATGGAAAGAAAAAGAATCTAAATTAAATCGGCTAGATTAAAAAAAATTTTAATTTAAAATCCGTAGCATCTTTCATTTGTGCACATGTATAGCCACACGAACATAAACAAATTTAGTCTGAAGAAGTCCTAAAGAAGGAAACGTGTCACAAGAAAACTTTTTCCATTTTGTCATACATTTTTATAACACAATCTTCACGTGCTGAGTATAGAATGGCCGTTATGTAATTTAAATTTTAAAAATATATCTGTTATTGATATTTAATATATGTTATTGCCGCAGTTATATATTATAATGGGATTACAGTTTTTTCATTTAAAAATTATATTTGGTAGTTAAAATAAACAAGATTTGTATATATATATAAAAAAAAAAAAAAAAAAATGAAATTTTTGTTTGTAGAGTTGTGAATATTAATTTTATATATATATATATATATATATATATATATATATATATATATATATATATAAAAACATTGAATAAAATAGACATGGAAGTTCTTTTTTGGTGCTTTTCTCCTTGTGTCAAATAAGTCATTCAATTGCAGATAGAAAATTGTCTTACTAACCTGTTCTATTTAAATGAACTCAATTTAAACTAAATGTCATCTACTAACAACAACAACAAAAAAAACTTTTTGGGCTGTACTTGTGTGTGTGTACATGCATCAATATGTCTGTAACTTGACTTGTAGTGATTAGCTGAATTTTGATCTGAATTTTCAATGTATAATATTTGATCTACATGATTACTTTTTATAACTGAATTAGGTGCATTGTTAAGGAAAAAGTTTAGGTTGAAAAATAAACATCTGGTATGTAAAATAAATGCTGTTTTCGTTTACACAATTTATGAGAAAAGAAGTGGTGTACAAACAAAAATTTCTTTTAAACTAATTTTGTGAATATTTAAAGAAATTTACTTTTCAAAATCATACTGACAAGAACAGACTAAAAAATATATTTTAAAAAATCAATATTTCAATGAACAGAGTGAAAAATATCTAAAAACATTACAATGTTTTTTGTTTTGCATAATATAATTTTGTTGCCATAGAAACATGAAAATTGTTGTGTGACAAATCATTTCAACAATTTTTTTTAAAAGCAATCAAGAGAAAAATACAAGAAATAAACAAAGAGGTTTTTTTTTTTTTTACCTGTTTTAAAAAGCCAATGACTTCATTATCAAAAAGACAGAGTGGAAATAAGAAAAAGTTAATCTATTTTTGATTGTAGGCCAGAAAAGAGAAGAGCGTGGATGGAAAGGGAGGGGTATGGGTTATGTCCACCCACAGTTAATATTACCACTTCTACTATCAGCTATAAAACAAAAAAAAATTCATGAAACTTGGGCCCACCCTTATTAGGTTAAGTGGGGGGTTGTTTTTTCTTCTACAACAAAAACAACAATAGGACAATGAAAAATAAATAGCCTGTTTTCCAGGTTGACCAACACCGTTTCAGAATTAAATCTTTAGGAAGAGATTTTTTTTTTTTCCTTTTGTATTTCCTTTCTTCTGTTAATGGAATCCAAAGAAATTTTCATATTATATATTATTGACAAGCTTTTTTTTTTTTTTTTTTTTTTAGGATGCATTACTTTATTAAGATCCTTAAATACATAGGCTGGTAGATGTAATTAGCAAAACCAAGAAAAGGGTTTCTACTTTTAACCATTAAAATATGTTTAATGCAATATGGTGTGTATATATATATATATATATATATATATATATATATATATATATAGAGAGAGAGAGAGAGAGAGAGAGAGAGGTTCCAATCCTAATGAGGAATGACTGCAAAGCACTTGCCCCTCCCCAATTTATAGTCATAAGTGCACAAATGCATGCTAGGATTTCTCCTAGCCAATAAAAAAGTCAGTTCTCAGTTTCATCCGACTCAGTCCCAGTCTGTCTTGAAGTCAAAATGCTACGTTTATTTACCCGAATTCGCTCTTCAATTCTAATTCTTAATTTATGAACTTTTTGCCTTATTAGTAATATAAAAAGCAAATTAACAGTAATAATAATTATTGTTAATTTGCCTTGAATAATATTTTTTGCTTGATTTCTATTATTTCTTTTTGCCCTGTTATTTTTCTTGTTTATTGCAAATTTTGGCAATTCTCTTTGTTGGACAGTTCTACCAATTATTTACATTTAACCATGGCGTCACTCACTCTACTATATATATATATATATATATATATATATATATATATATATATATATATATATATAAAACACACACAGGGGGTGCGATGGATAAATTGTTGTCTAAATGACACAAAATGTAAATAACACTAACACCACATTTTAACAGATATATTTACCAAAATTACACAAAAATATCTTGAAATACTACAGAGTAATTTTATTCAATAAAAATCGCCATTAGCTTCAACCATGCCCTCCAGACGACTTCAAAATCTCCTGCAACTCTTCTGGACTATCTCCTTGTTTACATTGGTGAAAGCTGCCATAATCCTTGCCTCCAGTTCATCTTTGGTATTATAAAGAGTTTTGTTGATATCTCTCTCTCAACTAAACCCCACGCATAATAATCAAGAGGGTTGCAGTCTGAGAAGTTAGGTGGCCCGATGTAAGGGGTAATGTAGTCACAGAAATTGTCTGACAGTCATAACTGGGTCCTCTTACTTGTGTAGCATGGTGCAAAGTCCTGTTGCCAGAGGTAGGATCTTCCAGCAGCCACTCTCTTGACCCAGGGCAGCACTTTCGCCTCAAGGCAGTTGATGTAGGTCTCCCTGTTGAGTGTGAAGCCCTGCGGGGAAGATGGATTGAAGCATAATGTCAATATCACTAGGGATTCATTCCAAACACCTTCATAATCACTTTTTAAATCCTCTGCACTCTCCTCAGATTGAGGCCCAAACATTCTGAAATGTTCATATTGGAGCCTCTGGCACAAATGTCAAGCAATACAGCATGCTGTTTCCAAATTTCTAATGGTGTGAATTGCATCATGGTGCTCACTTTCTCACAGATGGTGCCCAACTGACCCTACTATACTGAGAAATTGCCAAAATCAAAAACAAACACAATGCACATGTGCAAAATTAAATATATAAAATCATTTAACCATTGCACCCTGTAAATATATGCTTTCTGAAATTTTTACATGCATATTAAATATATATATATAAATAAATAAAAGATAACACACATTGAGTCCTGGTGTTAATAAAATAGTGCTCGATGTAATATAACAAAGCAATTAAATATATATTAATATTAAAAAACATACATTTTTAT